TGCATAAAATCATAATTCCATTCATCAATCCGTTTTCGTTTGAAAAAGTAGTTGTCCGTCCAAACCTCATCTTCTCCATTGACATGGACAAGTTAGTTGCTGACCAAGCTTGGGAGCTTATATACATCCAAACCAAACTCAATTGACACTCCTAGAAATTTTTAATTTTCCCATTTCAATACAAGTTGCAAATTTGATTCTCAGGGATCTTCAACATGATCTTCCAGGATTTCTTTTGATGGCATTGCCCAATATTGGCGGAGCCACATTAAGAAATTTGAGCACAGCAACCACCGGAAGACACGTGGTACGAATCATAGACTCGTGCTGCCCGCCTTTCCCATGATAATTGGACCCTCCAAGCTTTGAAAGATTGTGTCCATCACCCAACTCACAGTAAAATGCCCATCAAAAGAAGGGGTCAATCAAGCTATCAACTGAGATAATAATTGAAATTTCTAAATGAAAAAGAACATGCAGTTTCTCTGTGTTCTTCAATTGAAATAAGCCTACATTTGATTGCCAATATTTTTCATGAAAAATGTGTCTTTTTCACCAAATTTTCTACTTTTGTGCTGCTTAATTGACAAATTTTTCACGAAAAATATTTTCTTACTTTTGCTTACGTGATCATATTTTCCTTGAAAACAAGGAAAATATTTTTTTTAGAGAGATGATTTTTATTTTTCAGATAATTCACTCTCTCATCTATCCCCTTTCTCACATACCCACTAATAAAAAATAGATAAGTACACTATTTTTTAAGTTGAAAACTAAATCAAGCAAACAAATTTAATTAATAATTTTCATACAAATAAGTTCTAGGCAATTGAATTGCCTATAATTTATTTTCTTTCAATACAAATTTCATGCTCGGAATTAAATGAACCCTAATATTTGAGGGGAATTATAACTAGCGTTAGGTGCATATGGCAAATGAACCCATCCTTTTGGGATGATCCGGTCCGGGAAAACCACAATCGAGGCTGAGCAAGCCAAAATTTTGGGACTTGGCCTGAGCCTAGGCCGGCCCATGTGGCTCACCGAGCCCTCATTGGCCGGCTAGTGACACATGCCAAAAATGCCCCATAACCCAGCCTGCATAAAGAAGCCCGAGCCAAGGGCTTTTTCGGCCTATCACAAGTTTCGGCTCAACTTGTTGACACCCTTCCATATGCTAAAGAACAAGCCAGTCTATAGCCTTCCCTTGGAGGTCTAATTGCTCGAATCATTTAAGCTTTTCTTAGTCTTCTCCTATTTGCATTCCCCTTCACCTTAAAGGGGGTTTTGCAATGACGTCATCTTGCAAATTTGTTTGGCCTCCAAAAATTATAATTTCAAATAATGAGGCCCAAACAAAGACTAAACAGATTCCTATAGAGAAATTTTCCGTAACACTTTCTCATTCACATTTCCTCCCAATTCAAGTGACATTAGTTCAAGTGAAGCCGATTGACACTATATGGAAGATGAAGTACATTCACTTGATTGGTCGAGCAAACTGAAACCAGTGTTCTAAAATGCGCGCAAATGCGCCGCCTAGGATCGATGCGCTTAGAAAACGCGTCAAATTGGGCAATGCGCGCAAAAATACGGTCAACAGTTTT